GAAGTATTGGTATTGGTATTGGTACTGGTGAGTGTAAACTGTCCATGTTGCTGTTTGTTCTTTCCTAATGACAGAACTAAAAGCTGTCAAAAGTTCTCACCTAGAGGTGGGGTAGTCTTTTTCTTCTTGGGTGACCCAGGAGGAAAGACAGACACCTATTACAATTCCCCGTTGATGGAGGGCCTGGAAGCCAGCTGGATGAGAATAAATGCTGCAAGAGCTGGAGCAAATTCCATCTGGCAGATCTCTGGAAGGTTCAGTTCTCGAACCCAGGGCTGGCACTACACATACATGAAATCATTTTCTCTCCAGTCATAATGTGATTTGATTTTTGTATGGCATGTTGGGTGATCCAGCCAAGTGTGATTTATTAAACTATGATTAAACCATGGTTTGGTGCAATGCTTATTCGGAGATGTTAACTGCAGGAGTTAATACTTCCTGCTAACTTATGTTATGTGGCCATGAACAGCCACACCAACACTTCTCTGCAGTAAAGGGCTCTATATTCATCCTGCTGTATTTGTGCAATGTTTCTCCTTGGGACAAAGTGGGGAGGGGGAAACCAACTCAGTTTTTCCTTGTATAAAGAACCTATACAGCATGGGTAGGCAGATGTTTAGTTCCTGGTTGGGCTGATGGGAGTTGGAAGACCCAAACATCTGGAAGTCTAGCTTTTCCCTGTGCCAGCTGCATGTTTCCATAATGGGTGTTCAAAGGCTTAGGAAGGGAAATTCACCTGCACAGCACTATGATCCCCCCTCACATGCTCTTAGTATGTAGTGATGCTCTGTAAGATGCTAGTCTAGAAACTGGGAATAGGAAGGTGATTCTGAAATACAGAGTGAGGAAGTCATCAAGGTAGAACTCATTACTGGCATGACTCTTTGTCACTTACCTGGAGGGGACCCTGTTTGCAAAAGGTTGGCTTAGGTTGGCTGTGGACTAAGCCATGATGTGAAGGAATTCTGTTGTACTACATTGTGGTCATGAATGCTCTTGTGATAAATGCAATATGCTATGAATTCCCATTCAAGGAATGTATGGCTCTATATAGTTTGAAATATAGTGGCCTGATCCCTCAGGCAGATCATTGTGTGGCAGAGAAAAAGGAGCACTCAAGGGCTTGGCTACAAATATTTATGTTCATATTCTGATTTTAATATCAAATAAAACATGTACTGTATGTAGTTTCTCAGCAAGTATTTCTACAGCTTTACAAAATAGACCAATACTATTTTAACCATACTGCAAATTTGGAGGGTGGGTGGGTTGAGTGGCTTCAGATCACCAAATGCATTTATAGCTCAGAAAGGATTTCAAACAAGAGTTTTTTTCCCACAATGCTACTTCCCAGTTCCCCACAAAAATTAGTACTCAAAACCAGCCACATGAAATGGAAGTTTCAAAATAACTTGTTTAAACTTAAATTATTTTGAAACCATTTAATCAAGACACAAATCAGGATTTGCAAAAACTACACGGGGCACAAGATTAGCAGAGATGGCAACCTCATGGTTCATCCCAACATTTTTATCTTAGTGCTCACCATTCCAGTTAGCCTATTTTTGAGCCAAACTCTACAATCACCACTGCACCCCCCTGCCCTGCATGATATGTCTGGCATCCAGAGCTATCACTTCAAGCACAAGGGAGGATCAAATATCAGAATCGTTCTCATTCCTTAAGACTTTCAAGAAGCTCTGCTTTTCCAAAGAAGCCATGTCAAAAGCATGAACCCTTGTTTTGTCTTAACAGCATAAGAAACCCATCCCTTATTATAAGTTAGTGGCCTGACATTAAAGGGTAGAATTATTGCACTTATTGAAAGTGACATATGATTCTATATGCCTAAGCAACAAGATGTTCAAAGAGATTCCAGGACACACCAGGTTGTGAAGGGATAAAGAATTCTTGAATCCATCATTCCAGTAAGTTTCTTGTAGTCCATGAGGTTACTATATGGCCATGGTATGGGCAAAACAGGAACAGCCTAATGAAGCCCACAAAGATTAATGGTCTCTGCAGATTGATGAAGAATCATCAATAAATTATAATCTAAGCTACAGTGCTGAAGTAGCCAAACATTGCCTATAAAAAGAGCTGAAGAAAGGAGAAGCTTGAACTCTCCATCTTCCACTCCACTGAAGGTCATCTCAGAGAGCTCTCCCTGAATGTCCCTGCCCCTTTTGTCACTTGGCCAACAGCAAGAAATGCTTCTTGGTACATGCGGTTTGTGGGATTGAGAGAGTGAAAGTGAGGTGCTTGTATTGCTAAAATAAAGCTGTTAAAATCTATGCAGCTAAGCTGACACAAGATACTGAACCAGTAGCCTCCACAGGAGGAAGTAAAAATGGGCAAGATGGTGAAGTTGGCAGTGCAATCCAAATCCTGGCCCTTTTATTCATGCATCGATGTTGCACACACACAGAAAGGGGCAGGGCTTCAATTGTGCTGCTGTGACCACCATCTTGCCTGCTTTGATCCCACACACAGAGATGCTGCTGCACTAATTACAAACCACAGGCTGATATGTCAGCTACAAACAGCATCTTTAAACAGGAAGAGGAATTTGAAAAACAGGACAAAGTCAAGGATGCTTGGTTTTGTTCTTGATAAACCTGGTAATCACTTATCAACCTTTAGATGCTCAATTCTATATTTGATGAGCTTCAAGTGGAAGAAACAATATCTGATTTTTTAAAACACATTCACTATGGTTTAGGTAAAGAAACAGTCAAGAGTCAACCTGGTCTAATTCTTAAGCCTTGAACACACAGGAAACTCAAACAACACAAACAGGAATAGCTTGCCTGTTGTGGCATAGCCATGCCTGATAGAATGGGACTGTGTAAGTGCTTGAGAAATACCACGAATGCAGGAAATCTTGGCAGAGATGTTCCTGGGGGTGGAGCAGACTAAATGTGGGGGCCATTCCCAGAAAGAAGGGTTGACTCATTGTAAAAGTAGGATATCTGAAAAGGGATCCCTAGAGGGCAGGATTGACTGATGCACCCACAATAAATGTAGGAAGCTCAGAAGCATGATCCTACTGTAAGGAGTGGACTGACTCCCCAGTACATACAAAAAGATTTCTGAAGAGCAGATTGGCTAATGGATCCACCATGAGTTGTATTAGTGTACTATAGAGGAAAGAGTATGTCCTACCTCAGGTTCAATATAACAGAAGTATGAATCTTCTCTCATGAAAACCTCTTTCTCAATGTAGAAACAGCATATCACAAAGCGCTCGCCCTACCTTGGTTAGTCTCTTACACTCTCCCAGTTCTACAGCTCATTCTTTCTTCCCTGGGAGGCATTGTAGTATGAGCGTCATCTACACTTTGTGTCTTCCTTCACTTTTGACATTTAGCTACAAAAGTTGTTGAGCTGGCAGTAGGTCAATCTCTCGGGGGAGGGGGTGTCAGAAAAATCAGTATGGCGGTTCTGGTCAACGTCTCTGGCTGACAGCATGTTATAAATGCTTGGGGGTTGCAAAAAAGCCCCCCCCCAAATATTAGCCATGGTCTGCAAATGCACAACGATTGGGTTGCTATAACACCCAAAGCCAAACCAAACCACCCATGACTACGGCTTACTGCAACCTATGAACCCAGTATTAAGTTGGGCTCTTGCATGCTATAGTTTCCTATGATTTAATGAATACACCACAATGGTCTGCATTTGCCACAAAATACTAAATCACAAACAAGCAAATTACATCATTGGGTTGCATGAACCTAATCACACTGATTAGTTAATGACCAATGGTTTATGACTTAGCATTTGTGGATCCAGCCTATTCGGTGAACAGTCCTTAAAGAAAGCATACATGATGCTTAACATGATGCTTGAATTCAGCCACTGCAACCCTGTGCATTTTTGGTTTAAAACTTGGCACTTTTAACATGAACACTGTATTTAAAAAGTAAAGTCTAGAAAATGGCTAGTCTTTGGTAACTAAAGATCAAGGAATTTATGGTTTCAGTGAGGGGTGGAGACAAATCAGCACAGGAGATTACAAAGCATTCTGCAAAGACATCCACAGATAATTTCTACATTTATTTTTATACCAAAAAAGTTATGTGCAACAAATAAACATTCTTACAATATTTACATGGTTTTAATTCCCCTGTTAGCAAAATTGAATTTCGATTTCAGAATGTCACAGTCCTATGTTGAACCAAAAAAATAAAAATAAAAATGGAATGACTCCAATTGAGATGGAGATGTTCTGGAGTTTGAAGCACATCAAAAATTTGTCAGATCAAACATACGAGACAGAACACACATTGAATATTTAGGCCATGCTTAATACATTTTTTAAAAAATGGAAACGGAATACTTCATCTTCTTCAGACTAGTTTTACTAGGTTTAATCAGTATTGAAAGAATCCAAGCAAATGTTTAATCTATTTTGACCAATTTTTGTTCATACAGATCAGGAGATACTAACCTGCAAAAAAATCTATCAGTTTTTGTGTTTTTGTTTTGGATCAAAAAATCTAATTGAGCAGTAAAGTAATTATTTTCTGAAAGAGTTTCATCTCATTCTGGACTAGAGCCCACTGTGATAATTCCCTTAAAGAGTTGCCTTAGTAGAAATATTCCTCTTCCAAGTATATAGATTTCTCTCCCTACTTTTCCTTAATTCCTCCTGAAAATTAAGTGACAGAAACCTTTCCTGGGAGTGGAGATATAAAAGATGCAATGGAGCCATCTGCTTCATGGATACATTTTCTGGTATCTCAAAAAAGCCTTCATCCATTCAAAATTGCATTACAGGCACTGAGAACCATATATACTCCCAAGTGTGGAAGGACGAGTAAGATTCCCCAAGAAAAGAAAAAGCAGTGGTCTGACTCACAGAAACTTTTTTCTCTTGGAAAAAGCTGTCAGAGCCCTTTCTTTCTCTTGAGCCATCAACAAGTGGGAGAGATGTGGTGGGTTCAGGGTGGTGATGGGGAGGAGAATTAAATGGATCTTCAAGAAAACAACTCCTGGCACATTAGTAAAAAACCTGAGCTTTTATCACTGAAAAAAAGTTTCCCTCTTCCACACTGGCATAAAATTAGAGGCAACTTAGGTGATGAGACAGAACCAGAGAGCAGGGGCTCCTGGGCTTTCCAAATTAAAAGGAAAGAATTGGGATCGAAGCAGGGAAAAGTTGCACTGGCGAAAAACAGGGAAATGCTGCATCCTCCATCGTCCACCTAGCTCAGAACAGGTTTGGGAGTGCGGCCAAGCAGCCTTGTAATATTGCCACCTTAAAGAGAATGAATTACCTTCAGGGAAGAAGAGGGAAGGCAGCAGAGAGCCACACTTGCAGGGAGATTTGCCCACCACCCGCTTGCTGCAAATATCACCACACGCAAGGAGGGTAGGCCTCCACTCCGTTAGAAATATTGGCCTGCTGCTCACAGCCCAGTACTTGGGAGGACCAATTTTCCATTTGGACAGAGAAGGGTGCCCTGCTGTCCCTACCTCAACCTTCTCCAATCTGGCCCTTTCCCCAAAGTGCTGCAGCTGCAGCTCCCTAGGAATTCTGGGAGTTGGGGTCCCAACATGCCTGAAGGGACCTGATTGAGAGCGACTCTTCCAACACAAACGATGGCTGCTTAGACTGTTTAACACCACAGAATACTACTGAAATTGGAGAAGGGGGAGAGGGGTACAGAAGTCAGGACTTTGCTTAAAAGTACACAAGGTGACTGATACCTTCAAACCTCTGTCCTTGAACAAGAAAAAAATAGAGTCAACATTCAAGGTTTTGATGCGTTGATCAAGAGAAAGGAGCAGAACAGGTAACTTTTCAGCAGGGGGAACAATGTGACCCCCAAGGAAGAGAGTCCTAGGAAGAAAACTATAACTTCCCTGTGTCCCCTAGAGTTGAGACTTATGTATAGATAATGGAAATCTGCTTAGAAAGATAGAAAAGCCCCATCTCACTTGCAGACATGTAAAAAAATAAAGCCTCGCATTATGTTACATTAATGTTTTAAAATAAAATTTTATCAGTGAGGGTATAAACTTGGAAATATTCTCCACATATCAAATGTAACAAAAATTTCTAAATTACACCGCCTGCGCCCCGCCATCAGCTCTAATTTCAAAATTCAAGACAAGCTTTAACTGTACTCTGGTTAATACAAAATGTATTTCTGAGAAACTCTTTTTCTGACAAGGACAACAAGCAGAATGTAGTGTTCTTTTTTTAATACATATATACACACACACACACATATATATATATACCATAAACACATGTCTCCCTCCATTAGTCTTGTGCTCCACCACAGTTCTGCACATAAACCAACTGGACTGTTCGTTTGGCAGGCATTTAAATACTGTCAGACATCCATCCTCAGCAGATGCTGCTCCCACTGGGAAAAAAATGCTGCACTTTTACAAAACGCAAGAGAATCGCATTCATACCTCAATGCTGATGTTTAGGAAATGACACAAAAAAGATGACCTCTTACGGACTCACGAGGAGGAAAGGGTTAAGATACAGACTGGATTTTTAAAAGGGAGCTTTTCAAAAGATCGCTCTTCTTGGGCATGAAGCAGGAGGAAGCAAGCTCAGAGCCGATGGTAAGAAAACAACAGGACACATATTTTTGGCAACAACACACCCTTTGTTTCTTTCAGTATTCTGGATATATTCTGGCCTGACTCAATCGCCTTAGCTAGCCTGTTAGGATCCAAGGGTGCACCACTCTCTCTGCTACAAAGAATGCCAAAACTGCTTTCAAAACTGCTTTTTACCCTTAATACAAGCACTCCAAATTCTGTTCATCATTTGAGCATAAGAACTGTATGAATATCTCAGGGAGCCCAACTAGTGACTTCGCATCACAAGCCTCCGGCAGATTGCAGCATCCGTGTGCTTTCAACAGCCGCTTCAGTCACTTACTGAGAACTCCTTTTCGATCCTATCAATGCTGTAACTCACTTGTACTCCGGAACCCTTTAGTACCTTTTTGCTATTCCAAGGATAAACCGGCTGCTGCAACAGGTTCCTCGTTTTGCCACCGCAGTAAGAAACACGGCAGCCTTGCTAAGGAGCAGCTCTTCTGATTTGCTTGGAACAGCTATGACCCAGCATTGGCCAAAGCAGCTGTCATATAAGAAACCGCAACAATCCTCCAAGGCTTCCTTGTCATGCCAAGGCACACTGAGAGGCTCCTGGGTGAACTGGGCCCTAAATCTAAATATAGTGGACAAAATTTTAGGAGTAGTGCAGTGTGAAAGTGTTCTGAGAAAAGGCAACTAGCCTGTCTCTCTAAAATACTCCAGCAGGAAAAGCAGAAGCCAGCATGGATTGCAGAGCTCACAGTTGTCCCAATCAGCCATGACGTGTTGACAGAGATTCAGCATCCTGCCCTCTCTAAACCTAGCCCCAAACTCCAGGTATGTCCTACAAGGATCTGTTTATGGTACCAGTGTGCCTTGGTATAAGGGAAGCCCCAAGGGATCGCTTTCTACATACTGCAAAGGTTTGATTCATCAAAAATATTACATATATGTAAGAACCCTTCTGCCTGGCAATTTCAAACACCCCCAATATTTGGTTTGTAAGACAGAAGGCACTTTTAAAAAACACTGCATTTTAGGACAATATGATATGAATGGGAAATTATTTCAACTCTTTCAAGGGGAACCATGACTGAATCTTGGGCCAATTTTGTTTACCATCTATTTCCTTTACCCTAACTGTAAATTTCCCCATGGGGTAGGGGGAATCAATGTGCATCTACCTAAACCTTACGCCAAATTTGTAAGTAGGAATTTGGAATTGTTCTGTCCCTACAGGTATAAATCTATTTATGTTCATAATTTGTATTTCCTATACAAGCCTCAATAAATGAAGGGGAATTGCTCAGGAGGATTAAAGCGCCCTCCATTGACATTTCTTTATACAATCCCTCTTCACTTCAGTGGAACTTATGTACAACAGATCTCACTAAGGGACTGCATCCTAATTCTTCAGTGCACTCATTTACCAGTGGGTCACTGGGATCCAGTGTCAAGTTGTAACTCTATACAGCAGCTAGAAATATCATAATCAAATCAGTAACATTATTTGGCTGTCTGACATCCCTTTGAAGTGTACAGCCAATTCTGCCCCTTGAACTCCATTTGTATAGATTTCCTACTGATGAGGTCTGGGCAACTCAAAATGCCCCATTCCCCTTGTTAAGCATCCTCAAAGAAAGATCTTTGCCATTCACAGAAAACAGTTTGAATGTTGCATGGAAACCCAACTTAGTTCAGTTTTTTTTTAATACCATTGAATTCCATTTTCTTTAGACATAGCCAGGGAAAAGACATCCCAGCAAAGATCTTTTGTTGCACATCTTCTCCAGGGAAATGAACTAATTTCAATTTCATTTTTTAAAAATGTCCCAATGGACAATTTTTCAAAGTTGCTATGCTTCTAGTCAACACTTGGCTGAGCTGTGCTGAACTTCTTTCTTTGCCAAGAGACAGCCAGCCCTTCCTACCACTACGCACCAAGTTGTAGTAAGTGTCCTAGTTGTGTCTATGTGGGTCAAATCCCCTTGGCTATCAATACACATAATGTAAACATGGCAACATTTCCCTATGGTACCTATAAAGTCTAGAACAATGTAATCATGATCTCCCAGTTAAGACTCCCACATCTCAATGGAATTTACACCGAGATGGGAGACTTCCTAGCAAGTATAACCTACTTGGAATATTTGGGGAAGGGGTAAAGAAGGAGTAAAGAATTTGCCTCTCTGAACTCCTTCAAAGTAGAGTTAAAGCTTGTCTCTGATCAGGTTAAGACTTTCTCAAACAGTTCCTCACCACAGCTATTTAGCAGAGAAGTTACCCAGGGCCCCTTTCCTTTGATTCACTCTAATTAAATTAGTTATGATTCCTGGGGAAAGCATGTGATATGAATAATTAAAAAGATTTTCTTTTTACTGTGAAATAAACATAAATGGAAGCCGGGCCTTCAAACCATCAGTCAAAAGTTTGCAAAGGAGTTAATCCTGTTTGGGTGGGAGTTGCCGTTTCCAGGCCTCGTTCAAGTATACTAGTCGTTTGTAGTTGATGATCAAGAGAACGAAGTTCAGCAAGTATGTGATGACACAGACAACGCAGAATTCCTTCAGCACAAAGTACAGAATATAAGCCAGGTACAAAGATCCTATTACTGACACTATGGAGGACATCATGAGGACCAACGCTGCTACTGCACTTGCTGTCATACCTAGAAGAAGAAGACAAGTAGTTACTGCTGTTGCTTCCTATTTGTTACAAGCTTTATCCATCAACAAGACCTCAGGTAAAGGGGTAAGAAGTCCAAAATGTGGTCAAATCACCCTGGTACCATTTCAAAATGCTTGTTAAACCAATCAAGAAGAAGAGTTCTCCCCAACTGGAAGCCTTAAGGACAAAGTAGTAAAAGGCTGTTCGCTGTGTGCCAATGTGAAGGATATAAGCAATGCCCTTTTCACAGAATCATAAAACTGGAAGGGGCCACACCTTGCCCCATTCCAGAATTCAATTTATAGCATCCCAGACCAATGACTGTCTAGCCTCCACATGAATACATCCAGTGAAAGGGAGCCCACCAGTTCTCTAGGTAGCTGATTCCATTCTCAAAGCATTTCTAAAATACCGTAAAGGCAACACCTACTGTAAAGAATCTGATTTATGGATAACTGTTAGCTGAAGATATGGCAAAGGTCACTAGCTGAGCAGAATTTAAGAGGAAATTAGATGCATGCACAGAAGAGCTTTATCCACTTCTGTTCATAATTATGACTAAAAGGAATTTCCAAATTCAGAGGCAGAGTGCCTCTACTTTTCTGCCACTAGATAAAGGAGAATGTGGTCCTTATGTCCTGACCATGGACTTTCCAGAACCATCTGACTGGCTACTGTGGGAAACAACATACTCACTTAGAAGGACCACATGTTCAGATCCAGCACTTATGACAATGGCTACGATCAGAAAAGCCAAGCAAATTGATGTCTATCTCTCCCACCATCCTAAATATACACATCCCTTCTTTCAACAGATAGACACTGTACATTCCCAACAGTTCAGGAGTTTCAAGACTGTACTATAATTTATGATTCTCATTAGTTTATACATAGATATTATGTATATTAGCAAACCCACTAATTTCTATAGTCTTAAAGAAAAAGACCCAGGATTCTTAGCCCACTGATTTTAAGAACTGAAGAAACACACATTATCTTGCCTTGCTCTTTTTACAACAAACTTTGATACACTGTTGTATGGGCATTAAGCACTACCCACAATTAATTGCAATCCAAATCTGAGTTTGCAAATTTTACTCTGCAGTTAATTTTGTGAAGCATTAAAAATGTTCAGGTTTGCTTTTGAAAAACGGGAAGGGTTGAATTTGCAGGCTGGAGAAGCAGCACAAAACTGGGGACAGGAGGGGAAAGAAGAACACATGAACCCTTGGAGGGCGCCAAATTCTCTTAATTGACTCCAGAAAATGAAGCAACATTATGACTGAGCTCACATAATTTAATTAAGCCATAAAATGGTTTTACTATAATATGGTATGGGAACCTAGCATAATGCATGAATCCAGTCTTCACACATGTTATGAGACATTTTCTTCATTATATTAAAGATGTTTTTTTATGGTGTCTGCTCAGTTAAGAAACACATTTGCCACTGTCTGAGGGTCCAAAAGGTATTTCATAACAGAACTGAAAAACTGGTCACTGAAGAAGTTGAAGCAGAGGATCTAGGACTCCTATAGGAAATTCATACACACTCACTGCGGGTACAGCTCCTGTGTCTCAGCATGAAGAAGATGCACAAGTCCTCCCTACATTGTTTTACACAGCAACAATGTCATGCATGGCATTTTTCTAGCGCATGCAAACAGGGAATGGATCCTGGCCCCACAACCTGAATCTGATAGTAGGGAGAGTAGAAGAGAGGGAGCGGGAGGATGAAAGAGGCAAGGGCAGACAGGGGTGAACAGGAGCACACACTGTTACACACACCTGCAAATACACTCACAAAAAACAGCACTGTGCATAATGCATCATGATTACCTGTGCATAATCATTTACAATTTAATTATTAAACTTTGGGAAAAAGAGATGTGTTTATTTTTATTAAAAATTTCCAATCTGGTTGTTTAGAGGGAATTTTTCCTTGCCACCAGCCATAAGCAACCATAGCAATGGCTATTTACAAGTCTGGCCTGGATCTAAAGGAGTGGGTAGGCACTCCATGGAGAAGTTTCTGAAGGAAATTCTAGATATCATGGACAATGGAAGGAGGAAAAGAGGAATCTGATTATCAGCCCCAGTTCTTCACAGTGTTGATTCTGAAAGAAAAGCTGATTTGAAATGCCGGGGAATTAGCAACTTCTTCCAGCTTTGCTTTAGGATCTGCAGGCACTATGAACGTGACTTAGACATCACATTTCTCAGGCAGACATGAGTGAAATGGGAGATTAGTGAAGTGCATACTACAGTTGTTAGAAGTCAATACATACAAGATTTTGATTACTAGATTGAAATAACAACAATTTATATCCTGCCTTTTTGCCTAGAGGAACAAAAAATAAGGAAAAGGTAGGCAAGGGGGAGTCTGCTACTTACCAAGCAACATTTGCAGTATATAGAATACAAGACCGAAAACACTGTTTGGTTGATTTATTGCACTGTCCTTTCCAAAAATGGAGCCTAATAGGCCAAATCCTCGGCCCCATCTGAAAGAAAATGGACCATTAAGTCTTAAGTGGTAAGTTCTTGATATAATAAAAATATAAATGTATACACACAATGCATTTATACACCCATGCACTAGGAACAGGTCTGAGAATACATATCATATAGTATTATTAGACAGACAGACAGACAAACAGATAGATTTCCCTGCTAATTTATTAAACAGCCTTCAGATTATGTTAGGTTATGAATATAAACCATGGCTTACAAAAATAACCCACAACTGGATGGGATAACACAACATGCTACATCATAAATTACAGTTTAATAACCATTAACTGCCCAGAGTCACTCTGCAGTGAGATGGGCAGTGACAAATTTGAAATACAAATAAATATAAATTAAAGTTGCTAATGACATAACTCACTAATCTAAAATGAAACAGCCATGCTATGTTTTAGTGCAATGTGTGAGCCCTAACCTACCACAAGCACGATGCTACCCATTGCCCTTCATACAATTAAGCACAAAGCATTACCTTCACCAGTACGGATTCTCTCTATTGACCATTCTGAATAACGTGAACCCATTATCCCCAGTGCAAAGCACAAAATCTGTGCAAATTTCATTTCAAATAGTAACCATCACTTACTTGCAGACTCAGGTTTGTTTTTTGCCTTCAAGTCAGGGTTGACTCCTGGCAACTGCCTGGACTAGTCTCTGCAGTTTTCCTGGCAAGATTTCAGAAGTGGTTTGCCCTTTCTTTCTTCTTCCTAGGGCTGAGAGAGAGGGACTGGCCCAAAGTCACCCAACTGGCTTCACACCTAAGGGGGAACTAGAACTCACAGTCTCCCTGTTTCTAGCCTGGTGCCTTAACCACTACACCAAACTGGCTCTCATTAATGTACTTTAAAATAAAATAAAATAAAATAAAATTTAAAATGCCTGGCTGTAGAGTACTTTTCATTTCCCATCATAACATTTCCTATAGCTAGGCAGAAAACAGCCCATAATGGGACTCCATATGAGACTCAGCAGGCACTCTTTCCCCCCGGCCTAGAAAGTTTGTCAGAATACAAGTGAAAAGCAACAATCTGCTTGAATTAACCTGAACCCTGCTGCAGATATGACTAACTTCCAGATATGCTAAGCACATTTCCACATTTCTGAAATCAAGAGCAACACGGATGGGGAAGATACCGGTTAAAAGTAGGCATGCCTGTTTTGAATGTAGAAGGCATCAGGTCTTTTAAAATGTAATCGCAATTTTTAAAAGAGAAATACAGAAAAATATACAAATTAAAAGAAAAAGAATAAAATCCAATGAATAAATAAAATAAAAAATTAAACAGAAAAAGAATTCTAAATATTAACATACTAAACTAATATAAATCACCTGACTATAACACACATTCACTCAACCATATAATAACAGTATATCAAATTATGCAAAGAAATGTGTTCTATTCTTCTAAAATATTTTTACAAGAAGGCACTGGGTTTAAGCCTTGGCATCTCAACTGAAATAGGGGCTAGGAAATGTTGCATTTTAGGAGCCTGAGGATCATAATGTGGGGAGTGATGGTGAAAAGTAGATGGATTTGCCAACTTTTAAGGTAATTGGAGTTTTTGTTTAAAAAGCTGTTTTAGGGATTATAATATTTTTTTAAATAATTTGTGGAACTGCATAGAAGGGGGCTCCAGAGACCATATTATGGCTTAGTGCAAAGTGTGATCCTAGCCTAGAAGGCTTACAGCATTATCATAGAGCTGATCCTTCACATATGAAAGACCCAGGCTTCAAGGCAAGTAGACATTTTCCCTAGAAACCCTGGAGACATTTCCTGTCTCAGTAAAAACAATATTCAGGGACTAAACTGAATACAGTTGGGATCAGTATACGAAAACTGCTATCTGTTCCGAGATCAGGAAAACCAGTTAAATATTCCTAAAATTATGTCCCATCACATCTCTAGATTAAGAAGAAATGTATGTATGATGTCAAAACCAGTTAGACGGGTAATCCATTTTTAACTAAGCCCTACTCGGATTTGTTTTCAATGGATGAAAAGGGGCAAACAAAAAGGCAAATTGGTTTAAACATGCCAACTTTAAAACATTACTCGAAAAAGTTCCCACAGGTTAACTCAGTTACTGCATTCCCAGCCTGCACTGTGTGGATGAGCCTAAACCACCTGAGCCCTAAAACATGAGGCTTGTGACCCAATTCAATGAACCTTTTTAAGTACTGCACAAGTACTGGCAACTTGGCACTGATCATGCATTGAGTATGCAAGAACACAGTCATACAAAACAGAACCCGTAGTGCTGAACTTGGTCACACCTTGTCTTATGCCTGGCTCTTGGCCTGAGAGTTTGGCTGCTCTAGACAACGCTCCAACATGCTGCATCTCACCGGGCCCACACTATCTTCTGCTTGAGAACAGAACATCAATGCTGATTTTTAAATTAATGCAACTTTTTAGAAGAGTTAGGGACAATTACTAGTAAGCAACTACCAACCATAAAATATAAGCAGGTCTGCTTCTTGTTATGCAGCTTTCACTCTGACCCTAATCCTAACCCATCTATTCCCTGCTCTTTTCTTCCCCATCCCAGGAATTGAAAAGAGTCCACAGCTAGTGTAATAGCACATGTTTTATGTATAAAAGGCACACTTTGATCCTGACATCTCCAGAAAGAAGAACTGCAGATGGAAGGAATAGATGATACATACAATAGGGACACTGTTTAGTTTTGCAGCATGGGTTGCAGACAATATGGCTTACAAATTCATTGGTAATGGCTCAACATGTTGGCTTATCTTAGCCATCTGTGGATGATTCAATAAACCATGATTAACTAACACATGACTCAGTGGTACTATGGCTGTACTCAGTGTACTCAATCCAAAACCTCAGGAGGGCAGCAGATTGGAAAAGGCTGGGCAGACAATAGTGGGTGAAGAGATCCAGCTCCCAAATATATGATAAGGCAAGTTTTATACTTATTTATTTTATTAGATTTATATATTACATATCTTTTATATTTTATTACATGTATACATTGCTTGGATCCCAGCAACTCTAGGCAGTTCACAAGTAAAAAACGGGGGGGGGGGAATTCAATAGTAATTGGATCCCAGCAACTCTAGGCAGTTCACAAGTAAAAAACGGGGGGGGGGGAATTCAATAGTAATTGGATCCCAGCAACTCTAGGCAGTTCACAAGTAAAAAACGGGGGGGGGGGAATTCAATAGTAAAAACAAGGAAAAAAGATGGCAAAAAACAGGCAGCAACAAAGCACACCCACTCCTTGGAAGGGGCTACCCCCATCCCAGCCAAAGGCCTTCCAAAACACAAGAAGGGTGGGGCCACCTGGATCTTGGGGAGGCCTCATTCCAAAGGGAAGGAATTAGGTGTGGCCAAATTTATATCACCCAACAATCTGAGATTGTTCATTGGCCCTACCCCCAAAAAATCCACAGATTTGCTTCCCAGAAAGCAAATTAATTGCATTCAGACCACTAAGTAAAGATCTTTACAAAAGCTTCCTCCCTCTCTTTCAGGTCAAATCATATTAACACACACATTTTACAGTACTGATAATGGATTGATTTAACAGCTAAGCTGAATTTCCCCAGTGGTTTAGGCACATTAAAATTATGGTCTTGTGGTTTGATTTCTGAATATGCCTCTGTATTTGAACTATGAAAGGGGTTACATGCATTAAGAGAGATAGCAATGCTCTCAACAGCCCTTGAGGGCCATGATAAAAAGAATATACCTAAAGTAAGGAATTGTAATGAAATGTCAACTTCTGGTCCAGAAAATGCACATCATGATTTGGCCCCAATTCTTTTATGCAAGCCTCCAGGAAAGATGTCAGTTGCCAATTCTTGCAACACTGTCTTTCCAGACTTCTGCCCAGATAACTTATTGGACAACTGCAATTTGGGCATTAGTTCATGAACTTATTCTGGTTGTAGCGACCACTGCGAACATATTATTTTTTCTTCATTTGAATGTGTTTTAATAAATGTTGATATGAGTTGAATTAAAAGCAGAATATCAAATACTTGGGTAGATTTATGGAGAGCAAAAACTGATCCAAAATTTGGAGAAAGGGAGCAGACATTCAGTGGCACAAGGAGACTTCAGAATCAGAAAAATACTTACTACTTTGTATGATACAAATTATCTTCCCTCCCCCCCCCCCTTTGAACAGCCTACCCCAACTTTACATCCTCCAAATATGTTTGGACTGCACAGTTCACATTCCCTAACTGCTCCAATATAAGACTCACAAAGTACCTGAACAAACAAAACTGTGGCCCAATCCATTAGAAAAGGTATATTTGAAACTTGGCAATAGTTACACAAAGAATCCAAAAATATATTGCAAAGTTATCAGTGCTGTGAAGATAAAATTTAGCAAATAGACAATTGACTCCAACTCTAGATGAGGACCACATGAATATGCATCTATTGTTATTATTGCTGCTATTATTATTATTATTATTATTATTGCTTATGAGTCAGTGTGGACTCCTGGTGACTGCCTGGAGAAATCCCTGCAATTTCCCTGGCAAGATTTCAGAAGTGGTTTGCCATTGTTTTCTTCCTATGGTTAAGAGAAAGTGACTGACACAAGGTCATCCAAGTGGCTTAGTGCCCAAGGGAGGACGAGAACTCACAGTCTCCCAGTTTCTGGCATGGTGGCATAACCATTGCACCACATTGGCTGTCACCAATAAAATTACCATTGTTCATACCATCAGAGGGGGAAGAAATTGCAATCAAGCATCTTCCATCATGCCCAGTACACATCTAGTTGAGAGATCCCTTTCTCTAGCTACAATCTGCCATCCGCTGAATCATGAAAGGAAGCAACAGCAACCTTTCCACTTGATTAGACCCAATTCTTTGATTACTACCTGTGGAACTAGTAACCAAGAGATACAGTTGCTTTTTTCCTCTAATTTCTTTTCCTCCTGTATTGTTCCTTTCTGACCATAAGCCTGCAGGCAACATCTTTTGGATTTCTGAAACATGCTGGAAGCATTTTTTAACTGAACACTAGGATCATTAGTAATATCTAAACAGAGCAACACAGATCCACATGCAAGTTGACTAGAAATCAGCAAGGCTGGCAGCAGTGTAAGGACAAATGAGACAAATGAGACAAGTGGGAAAGTGTTGTCCTCTGTCTGGCCTTTATGCTAGGAATATTACATTAGTCCACAATATTTTCTTTCAGATATACATATAGTTGTTTATTGAAGCAAAGAGACAGAGGAAACCTTTTTGGCCCAAATCTATCCAAAACCCCATGGTCAATTTCTTTCCACAGAGAGGATTGGACAAGAAACTATCAATATTTGGATGCACAAGCTATTGAATACACATCTAAATAAGTAGTGCATAACTGGACTGAAAGTTTCTATTGCATTACTCTTAAGATTATACAAAGACATACAATCAGTTTTCCAGCCTAAGTCTCATTAGCTATAATTTTAAGTTATTTGATCCTGGACTCTACCACCTTCAGTTCAAACCTTTTCAAAATTCAAATCCAGTTCGATCTATTTCCTTGTCATATATCCATAGCAAGAAACCAAACAAAACCACTGGCACGACTTCAGCAAGCTCCCCTTTGTCACTTCTCCTTTTTAAATAAACCATATCTTCACTGCATCACTATCGCAACCAGTTTACAATTTCACAGGCATTTCCCAATTCTAAACTGGAAAACTACTGGAAAATGCTGCTTCTGCACACAAATGTCCAAGTTTCCTATGTCTATAAAATGTTAAGATGTTACTCAACTTCTGAAAACATGACACTTGTAGAAGATGCCCTCTCTAGCAAAAACTTCAACACGCAGGAGGATGCCAAGATTCAACAACCAACCCCGAAGAAATACCCCACAAGTGTTGCTGTTGCCAGAAGTCCACCAACCTCAAATTTAGTACAGAGCTGAAAATAGCCAGTTCCCTTGTCACCCATGGGAAGCTAGGCAATCAAAGAGAAAGATGGCGTGTACAATACTTGACTTTTTTGGATACAAATGGCTAACTTAAAACACACATGAAGCCAATGTTAGTAACTTTTCTGGATTTGCAAGGCTGGCTTTACCAGTTTTCTTTCAATGCACAGCGAACATGAAAAGTAATTACTGTATGCATCTGGGGCTTCTGCAGTTCTATTAAAAATGTACAGTGTCTTTGCAGACCATTCCAAAAAGTTTCAAGGGAACTCAAAACTGGATGTTCTCACTCACATGAAACTTAATTACACATCACTTATAAACTCTTGCAAGTGCTCCACAGGTTTGTTGTAGGATTTCTGAGGTGATGCAGGGATGGAGAACTAGAAAATCATGAATGCTACTTAATTTCTAGAAAGAAAGGTAGAAACCAGGTCTTGCCCACTCTCTTTTTGCCCAAGATCCAGTCTCACACAGGCCCAATGATGCAGGAAACAATCACATCCTGCCCTGCCAATTCGTTCCCTGTGAAGGAACTTCTTTTTCGGTACAGAAGAAAATCAACAGATCAGGCACGCAATGCAGAAGAGTAGTCTCTTTCTGACACTGAGCAAACTTAAATTCTAACATGCTTTTAGAAAGGAGCTCTGCTCCCTTTTCTCAATACAAAGAAAGCAAATACAGTGGCAGAAAGGGAGACGAAATACAGAAAAGAGCTCTTCTTGGTTCTACACACTTTAAACATTCCTCAGATTTACTACTGACATACGGTCTGTGGAAAAATGAATGTAGCCCTCCAGCTAAAATGGTTCACCAGTGCTGTTCTCATGATTAACATTCCTTTATTGCATCTCATTTTAACTGGTTTTTCTGGTCTATCCCTTAACCTGAGGTTATTTAAATTTTGAACTGACCCTTATTTAGATTTGACATCCTGCTCCCCAACTAAACTAACTGTGATAGGACTCACTAGCTGTCTACTAATTAAAACTGATATGTATTAGGTGAGATCTAAACAATACTGATCCCTCAAACCAGAACAAGACACAGGTTCTCTAGGAGAAAAGCAAAGATAGGTCAGTCTCATTGTGAAATCTTTATTGGCCAACAGGAAATAGGGGCCAAAGACTCTCACTGTATCTGGTTAGGCACTTTAGTTCTGAGCACAACTGAAAAAATAATATCATGCTGCTGTCAGGAGCGTGGGGAAAAATTGCTAAGTCAAACAGCAAGGATTCACTTACTGAAATGGACTTAATCTAGGTTCTGCACAGTACATAAACACAGGAAAAAAGCTCACTGTGCTGCTTTCGACAATTACCAAGACAGCCTGAAAAGAACAGAACTTGTTTCTGAACTTCAAAAAACAATATCCAGCACTTAAAGCAGTGGCAAAAATATTTTTTCCAATTTTAAGTCAACATATGCGAACTAAGTAAAGTTGAGGGATTTGCTTTGAATTGAAATAACCAAAAATGTGCTGAAAACTTTTCATGTAAAATTTTGAGATCCTATGATGCTTTATAAACCTGCTGTCTATAAAAACTCTTCCCCACTATGCTAAATTAGACCTTGCACACACTGTATTAAAAAAAACTAAACTTCTCAGAACAAGGAAACATTACTGGATTCATGAGTAGTAGTTGTGTGTGAATACTGCAAAAATTACATCATTGCAAATAAGAGCACACAGTAGTATGAATGCAACAGCAGCTCTAATCTCTCTACTTGCAAAATAATATCATTCCCTCTGAACAGCAGCAAGTCAACCTTCAAAAAAAGGGTACTAACAATGATAGGCACTAACAAGTCAATACTGTGGTATGCAAGAAATAAACCTTTTGATGCAGGCTTTTAATACAGAACTTTGGAAAATGTCTGCAGAACGAAACTGATTGAGAAGAACCAATTTTATTGCTGAGAGTAAACCTAACAACTTTAGCAAGCAGTATCTAACAGTGTTGGACAGTCTCAAGTGTATATTCAACCTGACCGTCTTTCAACACGTGAGGTCAAGATACAAAGTGTTTATCGTTAAGTGATAAACATTTTTGGTACAGGATCATCTGTCCATAATAAAACAGATGCTTTGGTATGTTCTGCACAAATGCACTTCATTTTACAAGCACCTTCTTTACTATTCACAACACATGCTTGGCTCCACAAGAAACCTCTACTCAGCATTTGGCCCCAAATGTTTCCACACCAAAACTCCAGTGAAATTCTGCTTATAAGCCATAGCATACACTCATACTTTAGAGACATCTACAGACACTGCTGAATTCAGTCTTCCCCCACATATATCTGACTTATGCAGCCTCACCCCATTCTTTCCATTCTCTGCTTCAGTCCACTATTTATTTACAACCACATGCTCTCCTTCAAGCGCATCCAGACACTAAGCGTACTTACAAAATCAATTCATCAACACTGATTAGCAGCCTATCCTGGAAACGATGTTCAACAGGCTAGAGATAAACAGAAAAGTCCTAATTCAATGTTCTGAACTTTCTTGGTGCCTTTCCATTTAATTCAGTTAAAAGTCCTGATGCAAAGCACCATAAAAAGTCACTCTCTTAAGGTAAAAACAGGAAATGAATGGCAATTATAACAAGATTCACAGATCTGCCACCATCAGATAGATAATGGACTTGCTCTGTCAAAACCACTGTCTTTTTGTATACATTAATATTATTAATACTGCTTAACTAATCCAGTTGGTAAGTCACACTGTTTCCTGTTGTGATTTACACAGTATGTTTGTTTTGCAATGCTAGGCCTTTTGACCTCATGACTTTGTAATGTTTCACTTTTTTCTTTCCTTCCTTGTTAACTGAAAACAGCATCCAGCCTTCTGATAAAGAAAACTATGATCCACAAAAACAATGTACGCTCTTTGCATCCCTTTAGCTCAGTGATTAGCAGCTCTCTAAGACAGACCAACATTATTTACAAGGCAGACTTCAGAGAGAAAAATTAATATTGGGAATGACTTATTTCTACGACTCTTGTATTACTAAATGAATTTTCAGTCACGGGGTGAATTTAGGCAAAGCCTCAGGACTGAGGAAACACACCCCAAAAAACTTGAGGGACAAGCGACATCTGAATCAGGATCATTTTGGAGAAAGGATGGGTAACTTAAACTCTACAGACACTCAGCCGCTCTCGCAACTTTCGCACGATCGCGGCTAGCCAACAGAGCAAATCCAAGAAGGATCCTGGCGGCCTCCGCCTCAACCCCCACCCGTATTTTCCCGCTTGCTTGACCTGGAGGCGATGGCAGAAGAGCACCGGACACGCTCGCTGAGGTCGCAGAGCGCCCGGTATTGGAGGTCGCGACCCTTCTCACGCTCCAGGTGGCAGGCGTAGAGCGAAAGAACAATTCCGGCCAGGCACACGACGTAGCGGGCCACCCGCTCCCAGCGCGGCACCGAGACTCGCAGCAGGACGGGCGCCGCCATCTTAGCCCAGCCCTCGCTAAGGCGGACCCGGCAGGAGACTCCTCGCCCCTGTGCGCGCGCAGGACACGCCACAGCACGCCGAAATGCGGAGCGCGCGCACCACTTATTCATTGGTTCGTCGCCGTGAAAAAAGCCACGCCCACTTTCCCCCGGCTTCGGCTACTTGCCGGGCCATGGCTGTTTCTCCTCCTCTTTTCTCTGTGCAGAGCAGAACGTGGCGCTTTCCGTCGCGCCAGAGGCGGAACCAGCTAACCAATCAATCCGCGAGCGCGGGAGGCAACCCCGCCCACCAGCCTTTTAAGAATTAACAGCATCGCGAGACGTTCTTGCGGCGCGTTTTGAAACAGCGAGGGAGAGGGCTGTATCTCCCTCGCTTTCAGAAAACCGCGCGTTTGAAGGCGGGTTTTGTTTCTTCTTCTCATAATCTGTTATTATAGTGAGAAAAATTTTCAAAGATTTGGTGATCATATCCCTAGAATAGCTTGCAACACATAATAGCTCAGCTGCTCAACTATGGCTTACTGAATAAACTGACTCGCTGAATTCATTCATCAAATGCATTGCAGTAGAGCCGAGCCCTACGGTGAGAGCCGAAGATCTCAAACACCCTCCCTCAGAAGTGCTCCAGCAGCGTATATCCTAGCTCTGCTACCGACCTTGGGGTGCAACTGCTGCCACCACCTTCGACGGATATGCCTTTACCTGGCGCCCTCCCTCTAACCGTTGCATAAGCTCCCACCGTCTGTATGTCTTACTGACAAGTAAAAAGGAGGGAAAATGATAAAAGGAAAATACATTACAGTATATAGTGTTGCTTCATGGCCCTGTAGCACTGAGGCATTTTTGTTGTTGTTCAGTCGTTAAGTCGTGTCCAACTTCGTGACCCATGAACCATATTGTGCCAGGCCTTCCTGAAAAGCACTGAGGCATAGGACTAGCAAAATCATCGGCTCCTGAGTAGGGATATAAGCTAAACTCAAAAGGGATAAATAGAATCAAACTTTATTAGAAAAAAAGGCAAAGTAAGAATGTAGGTTTTCCTTTTTAACTTTGGTCATGTGTACAACATTCACTCTAAAAGAGGAAAAATATAGAGCAGTTTGCTCCTTTTCTCTTAGAGTTCTGTTGCAGTATTTTCAAAGATACAAGCCTATCCTGTCTTGCAGAAGGGGAGAGATAACCTGGGTATGCAACTGTCCCTTGTGCAAATGTGAATTCTGTGCTTGAGACGAGTGTGAATTGAAACTTGGGTATGTCTGGGCATCAGTGAACATGGGGTAGGAGCTTGCCTTTCCATTTATTACAAGGGGAAAGCAGAGAGCTGGCCACGTTTGTGGATGATAACAAACTATTTGGGTTGGTGAAAATCATACGTGATTGTGAAAAGTTCACAAGGATCTCTTTAAATTAAGTCAACCAAATGGCAAATGCAGTTCAATTTAAGTAAGTATAAAATAACCTTTGGGGCAAACCCTCTAACTTGATGAGGTCTTAGTTGTCTATAACTAATCAGGAAAAAGATACATACATATGTATTCATCAGGCTATTCTCCTTCATGGCAAGTAACATACAAAGGCAGAAGAGCAGTAAAAGTTGTAAGCAAATGAACTTAAAAGAAAAGGAAATCTAACTACAGTAGATCTGATTTACAGGACTCTTATGTGCTATTTCTCTCCAAATCTTTCCATCCTTACAAACAATCCTTGCTTCCACCATGTTCATATACAGATTCACACATAGCTTTTGTACTTTACATACTGTATATAATGTCATTTTTGGAGATCTCATCAGCTCTATTCAATCACAACTTTCTGTTTTCCCCTATCCATCCATTCACTTCATATATTTGTTTTGCATTTAATTCCTTCTTTCTCTGGGATCATCTATATAGCTATGAATGGGAGAAAAGTATTCCCATATAAAAACTGCTGCTGCCCTTTTATCAGCCTACTTTTATCACACTCTAGCAACAAGGCTGGTAGTGTTGCTGGTAGTGTTGCTGCTTTCACAAAATCAATGTACATGATTTCCCTGCCATTCTTTCCTCTCCTACCCAGTGTTACCTACTGATAGGAGAACTAACCATCAACCACTGCCCTTAAGATGGCATGGGGTGGGTTTCTGCTTGTAAGCTGCATGTAGGTATTATTACTTTTGTGTTTATCAAGGTGATCATCAGAGGAGTAGACCACATCTCTTTACATGGGCTGATAATCATGGAACATTTTTTTAGAAACTTCTAGCCATGGAATATCAATTGAACCTTATCCAGTCTAACTTCCTACATTTAAATCAGAATTCTACTTGAGGTTCAAAATTCATTATCCACTCCAATATGTTTCCCAAGTAATGGGGAAGGGGAGGCTTGGTTTACTTTTCCCACTGAGATTCCAACCCAATGGACTCAATGGAACACACTTTCATATCAAAATACACAATGGGTCAGCAACTAAAGGCACTCCAACTACCCCCTTTCTTCCATACCTCAAGACTTTGGGATCTCTAGATGCCAAAGCTGCTTATTTGAAGGCTGGAATAGCCAAGGAATGCAGGATCTGGCATTTGTTAGCTGCTACACTCCATTCTCTTGACACAGTGGCTATAAAGTATTTACTTTGGTAGAAATTTCTGCTTCCTTAGATCATAGAACAAAGGTCCCGAAGGTTGACCTAATCAAATCAGGTTCTTTATCAGATAGGACTGTGCACTGACTAAATTCATGCAGGAAGAAACACTTGGTTTAAATTTGCTGCTTGCCTCAGAAACAGACACCTTCCGCCTGGGAACAAACCCAAAATATCTACATCCGTGATTCACTCAAATAGTTACCATTGTCCTCAATATTTGGCCATGCAGTGATAGATTCTGAGCTCTTTCTCACGTTCACAGCAATCTCTCTCATATGACAAGTCAGCCAGGATGGGTATGCAGAAGGGGTAGTAAGTCACTGCAGCTCCCTGAAATGCTGGATCTGTCTTTGGGACATCCACTAATCCACCCAAGCCCAATAATTTGGTAGGCATGACCAGCAGGCTAGTCAATTTCAGCCAGAGTTGCTTTGGAGGACTAGTGAATTTTCAGCTGACCACAACTCTTGGCTATCCTGCTCTGCTAAGCCTCTTCAGGCTCCACAAAGAGGACAGGAAAAGGGGGAGTACTAAGAGAACGGGGGCATCCCCATGATACACCCCACAATCCATTTGTGTACTTATAGGAATATCAGTCTCATGGAAGATTCATGATATTGGGCCACAACAAAAAATAAGAAATGAGCTAGTAAGGTGTCCAATCCCTCTAGTAATCACAGCAAAACCAGCCATAGAGGCATTTTGAAAAGAATGCATAGTTGGCAGGAGCCAGCATGGGTTTATCAAGAATCAATCACACCAAACTTCTCTGACATACTTGTTTGATAAAGTGACCAGTTTAGCTGACAATGGACATAACATACCTTGATTTCAGCAAACCATTTTACAAAATCTCCTGTGAAAGTCTAGTAGAGAAGATGGCAAAATGTAGGCCATCTTATATAGAACCATTGCATACACCAGTGGCTTTTTATCAACCTGGAGGGAAGTGTTGTGGAATACTGCATGGCTCCATCCTTGGCCCTGTGCTGTTCAACGTATTTATGACTTGATAGGAGAAACAGCAAACATCTTGGAGGACACTATCAAGATTCAGGAGGTTCTTGATAAGCTGGGACACTGGGCAAAAAAAGCAAGCTGAACTTCAACAGAAACAAATGCAAAGCCCTACATTTGAGTAGGAAAAATAAAAAATGTTATAGGATGTGGGTGCAGGAGAGGACTATGTTAGGCAGCAGTACACACAAAAAAGATCTGAATGTCTTGTGGATCATAAGCTGAATATGAGCCAGCAGTATAATGCAGCTGCAAAAATGTGAATACAGTCCTAGGCTGCACTAGCAAACATTCAAGAGAATTTATTATTCCTTTCTATTCTGCATTGGTCAGATGCACCTACAATATTGCATCCAGTTAGGGGCACTGAGTTTAGGAAGGCATTGATGAATTAGATTATTACCAGAGGAAAGGAACCAAGATAATAAGGGGCCTAGAAGGAAAAAAATATGAGAAACAGTTGGAGATGTTGAATATATTTAGCCTGTAGAAAAGACTACTGGGTAGCATGATAACTGTTCATAACTATCAGTATGATAGCTGAAGGGACACCATGTAGAAGATGGGGCGGACTTGTTCTGGAAGGACAAGAAACAGTGGGTTTAAATAATAAGGAAGTAGATTTTGGTTGGTCATCAGAAAAAAACAACAACAATGGTACAGACTGCCTTGGGAGGTATTTGCTGGAGGTGTGCAAACAGAGGTTGGATGGCCATCTGTTAAGGAAACTGTGGTAGAAGATTCCTGCAGTGAGTGCAATGTTCGTCGAGATGTTAAGGTCCCTTGATCCTCTGAAAGTCCAATCCTTACATTCCATAATTCAATGAAAGAAAAAATGTTGGATATGTGGTTGAATCCATGCCATCGGTAGTATTCTCTGCTAACAGTTATGGGACTATGCCAATCAGTTTTGACACATTTTGGAAGTGGAACCTGTCAGGCTCCCTAGCAAAACCTTCAGAGAAATTTCCAGACACTCAGCATGGTGCAGGTTAGCAGCTAGGTTTGAACTCAGCTAGAAGCTCTCAGATACATGACACAGCACAACTAGATAAGAATCTTTACTTCATTCTAGAACGAAGCCATATAAAACAATTGATTGCCCTCTGTCAAATTCTCTCCTGTGTTCCTGCCAGTATAAAATCATGCATGCCATGGGGAAAGTGGACAGGGAGTTTTTCTCCCTCTCAGACACTAGAGCCAGGAATTATCCAATAAAGCTGACTGGAAGGAGAACCAAAGTAAGTATTTAACACAGCACATAATTATCTTGTGGAATTCATGGTTAATTTGTGATGGCATGATGACAACCACTAATTTGGACAGCTTTAAAGGTGACCAGATAAACTCATGGAGGACAGATCTCTCAATGGCTTAAGTTCCAATGTTATCTCTGGGTCAGGGGTACCATACCTCCAAATACTAGTTGCAGGGGAGCAGCGGCAGGAAGGATCTCTCTCATCTCCTGCAGAGACATCCGGCTAGTGACTATGAGAAACAAAGCGCTGGTCTAGGAAAGGCCTTGATGGGATCCACTGAGGCTGTTCTTATGGTCTTATTTCATGGGAAGTCTCACTTCTGCTCAAAGAAATAAAGAGATTCTAGCGGCTTCCACTGCAGTCTGTTATTCTTTTGTAACTGTATCCTTGTTCTATGTGCTTTAAGCAGGGGATGCTATCTTGTCAACTAATAATGATGACACTTACGGAGATAAAATTTGTAACATTACTAGCACTTGGAAAACAGGGCCTTATTTGTGCCAAGAAAGATGATTCTGTTGATTATGGTCAGGGCTCCTGCTGAAAAATTTTCACCTAGGCCTTTTCTGAATTGTTTTGTTCTGTTTTTGTGTTCCTTTCACCCTGCCGTTGTACTGTAAATTTTATAGTTTTTAATTTACTGGTATGGGAGGAGGTTGCATATTTTATATTTTGTAAACAATTCCAAAATAATGTTTATAAAACAAGAATGACCACGGCTATTTTTGTCTTTTGTTCATGGAGCAGCACAGACTTTTTTTAATATCTACCTGGAAGCTTTCGTTTTTTAAATTTAAAAGCGCATTTTTTTCTCATTTGTAATTAATGCCTCCCATACAGACTGAACATCGGAACTGTAACGATACTTAAAACATGGACTGAAAATAACGGCACAGATCATAACCATTTTCATCCACTGTAGATAGATTTGCAGACCTTCCAGTTTGTAACCTCAGACCTACGTAACCACGGCAACCCCGAGAGCGCGAGGAGATAAAAGGCGTGGCTGTCAAGTTCCGGCTCTGTGACGCAGGCAGGGAGGACCCGCCTCGGGAGGGAAAACATTTCGGGGCGGAAGGCCAGCCTGGGCGCTGCCATGCGGCAAGGACGGAGCCGGTTAAAGGCCTCCGTGGTAGGGTCGCCCTCTTCTGGGTCGGAGGACTCTGAGTGGGAGGAGGAGCGCGTGGAGCGCCTGCGGGAGCGGGCGTGGCGCGATGGCCCGCGGGGCCCCGGCTCCGGTGGGAAGGGCCGCAGCCGCCGCTCTAGGGAACAGCGCACCAATTGGCGCGTCCCGGCCGGCCACGAACGGAAGATCACCGCCAAGATCCGCGCTAGCTTGGCCAAACGTCGCTTCCAGCAACGCCCGGGGAGAGGGCCTAGATCTGCCCCATTGCAGCCCAGGAAACGCGCGGGAGCCGCCGCTAAGGTGCGGGGCTTTGCTGGCGGGGTCAAACAAGCATCGTCCCGCCCTCCGAGCCTCCCCCGACCTGGGTGCCTTTCAGATAGGATAAGCTAGGACGCCCATCCTCCCCAGGCTGCACGGCTGATCGTCAGTCAGGCTGGGAATAAGGCTGCCCTCCCTCCCATCTCCAGAGCAATAAGGGGGCTTCGACTGTATGTATAATAATAGACCTGCTGCCCGAGTTCTGTTGATCTCATCTTCCCCAATATCGTACTTCTGTCTGGAACAAAAATGCCTTTTTTGCTCTCTAGTTAAGCTTTCTACCTTTCCTTTAAGTCGAGTGGCAATACATTCCCCCTCAGTCTTAAAGGATCCACCACGTTCTTCCTTCTCCAAGTGGGGTCCAGTCAGTCCTAGCTCTCTTGCAGGTGGCTTCCTGGTGAAATTAGGCAGTTGCAATAAGACAGGCCTTAGAGAAATACACGTGTCCTTCAGTATTTTATAAAATACATTAGTACTGTTAAGCTCTTCCTAGTACAGTTCTGGAGATGTCTTATTTCCTTGCTCATCTAATTGTCAGTTAAAGGAAGACAGTCCAAAATTTCCCTTGGGGACTACACTACTGGCGCAGTCAGGATTCAGGAGTCCTTCATACAATAAAACATTTTTAATGGGAAAAAACAGCTCCCTTCTTGGTTGTTCAAGACTGGAATGCTTTCCCAAGTAAATACATAGGGATCCTGCCTAATAATGAAACAGTCTGATTTCCATGTTCTCACATACAGGAGTAAAATGCCTTCTACAGACATATCCTCTGGCTCTGCAAGCCAGAAAAAAACTTGCCTTCCCCTGCTGTAGTCTTTCCCATCCCTGCTTCTTTTGGATCTACAGATACAGCCTAGTAACAGTTTAATTGCACAGAGGATAATTCCTATTCTGCCTTGAATGGGTGCCCTCAGGGGCTCCACAAACACCTTTTAAGTGTCTTCCCCCAAGGCAGTGGACCTTGCTTCCACAGGTGTATTGCTGCCAAAGCTGGGCAAGGTAATCATTTGGGCTGCAGATTCAAGGCACCTTTTGGTTTTTTTCAGGTTCCAGAAATGGTCAGCTGCTGAGCATCTTTTCTCATGATCTCTGACTGCAACTGCTCTGTAGCTGAAGAAGCTCTGTTCAGGGTATGCTGCTGCATTCCAGAGTCTCCTTCCACTTCAGTTCCCAGTTGTATCACTTAGAAGCCATTTCTTTTCAATAACACCAATTCTGGGCACTTCTGTTCCACTCCTTGCATTATTGCATCATTTTTTTTTCATTTTTGTTATCTATTGTTTTTGTTACAAAACTTGGTAAAAAAGATTATTCACAATATCACTTGGTTCAAATTAATATTGGAAGATTACTTAAGACTGAAAAGGAATTGCAGTTTAGGAATAAGCCATCTGTTTTGCATACAGAAGACCTGAGATTTAATCCTTTCTTTTTCTAGTTAAATTCATGTCAAAGGGCGGGGCAAAAACTAATAATGGATGGAAAAGCTTGGCCCTTAAGTTATCAGTGCTTCCAACACCCATTGGCACCAGGAAGCATACCCAATGGCCTGGCATACTGTAATGAGAGTAGTGATCCAACAACACCTAGAGCAATGGTGGGTAAACTGCTAGTGGCACAGGTCATATTTACAATTTTTGGAGGGCTGGGAACCACAAAGTGAGTCTGTATCACATATGGGGTGGGGGTGGAGGTTGGAATTTTAGAGCTTTCTGATAGTGTGTTCTAGGGCTTACACTAAAATACGCATATCAATTTGCATGTGTTTCCCATCTCAAAATGGTGGAAACCCATGTTGCCAGTTTTCAGGAGGTATGGTCAGGAGTTCCAGAAGCCATAAAAAGGGATTCAAGCATCCCTATATCCCTTGATCACCATCTGTATATTGATTAAGGGTTCACAAAAGGTACAATGTAAGCTGCTGGTGTTGACTGATTATTTGGAAAATCTGTTTGTAGCTCATGTGCCTGTTATACCTGACTCAAGTGGCTAGCCAGGTTTGACTGATATCTTCCCCTATTATAACAGCCTTAACATGGTTGAAAGCTTTTTCCCATTTAGCACCAGTCTCAAATCAACTATCAGAATTTCATCTTGAGTCTAATGTATCAAAATTTTAAAAAGTATTAGAAGCATTTCTTTTATGAGACTCTGCGAAGCTGATTTAAGTATAAATTAAATGTGGAATGTTACTGTTACTTAGATCTGGGTTCTAATTATGGCTTTAAATGTTACCATTTAAAGGCCACTCAGAATATTGAGGTCTTTTAATTTAGTTGTGGTATTGGATTGTAGTGTGTTATTGTATCTATTTCTTAATAAAGACAGTATTAACTGCCCCTAGCTATAGGTGCCTGAAACATAAAAATATTACCACTACTACTGAGGGCTGCATTTCACTAAACCAAGTCTTAGATTGCCCATCTTTGGTTTAGAGAATCTCAGTATTAAGAAAGGTTTGTGAACTAGGAGAAAACAAGCTCAGTGGGAAGTGCATGCTTTTTACACAGAAGGTAGCTGATTAAATGTTTGGGATACTGGCTTCTCAGCACAGTACTAGTAGATCCTTCTCTTATCATGAACCAAACATTACCTAGCTTTAAAACTGGTGGTTGTGGGGAAAAACAGGAGGAGAGAGTGATATGCATACCACCTTAAACTGTTAAATGAAAGAATATTAACCCAATAAGATGAAACAGAAGGTTATTTTGCTATGAAAGAATCTGCAGTTGTTCAGCAGTATCTTTCATTTCAAGGATTCCTCTGAGCTCTCATACCCCTTGGGTATTCTTAAAAAAACAAGAGACAATCTCGAGTCGGACAGTGTCAAAGTCAAATAAATAAGAATGGCAGGTTGTTGCAGCCTACTTTTTTTTTTCTTCTCAAAGTGTACTGTATAACCAGAAAAAAAGAAGAACAAGTTGGGGATATAGGGAGTATCCTGGGGGCTAGAGGGTTAAGGATACAAATGTGCAACTGTTTGGATCCATGATTCAGAGAGGGCATGGGCCTCAAAGTTGCATCCTTTTGCCAAGCCCTTAATTCAGACATGTATTTTCCTGGGACCATGCAGCTATTGGGCAAGCCCAGCAAAAGGTACATCTATAAGGAGGCCCTGACAGGTCCAGTGGGCATGCCTAGGCACCCTCTGAGGCACCTCTTCTGCCCTGGATCTGAATAGCTGCACATTCCTACTTATGGGAACATCATCGCTTTACCTTGTGATAAATGGCCATATCTCCTGTGGCAGCCATTTTGGGTTAAGACCTAAAGCGTACTCTCAAAATTCCAAATGTGACAAATTGTTGGGACAAAGTTATTTCTCAAGCTTGTTTCCAGACAATTTTCTGGTAGAAAACCAGTGCTTTCTTAATTAAAGTCAGAATTCATGGATGCAGTTTGGACCAACTGTTCATTTCTAATTTGTCAGCAAGATGTACAACTTCATCTTGTTGCCATTTGTATTTATCTCATGGCCACGAGCTCCTTTTCTGAAATATTAAATATTAAAATATTAATGCTGGCATAAGTATCTACCCTAATTTTTCTACAATGAAGGTATATGCCCAATATTCATTTCATGAAGCCTGATAAAAAGGCTGTAGTTTCTCAGTGCCTTTCCTTACTTCTCTTATCATCCAATAGTCCAACTGCTTTCTCAGGTGGTATAAATCTGATATATTTATTATGTTGTTAATGTTGCTACCGGTGTGCTTTACAATTTTTTTTTTTTTGGCATCTTCCATTATCTCCTTGCATTTTTATCCAACTGTCATGTCTTATGTTTTCTTCATTCAGTTAAGGCTTTCATTTCTGAAAGAAGCTTTCTTTCATAGCTTCCTTGCCATTGTTAGTTATCCATTGAGTCTTGGACATGATGTATTTCTTGACCTGACCTTTATATCGGGGCTGAGCTACTGTGGCTTTGAGTAATCCCTAAGCAATATGGCATTATTTGATCCTTTTGACTGTCACTTTCAAGTTTCCCTTTCTAGAGTCAAATTTTGCAGAGTTGAATTTCCTTGGCATTTTCCAATTTATATGCAAATGGAATTTTCTGTCTTTATTGATAAGATGTCTGACATGTTTCTTTGTTTCTGCTGTCTGCCAAGCTAGGAGGCTATGTGTTTCGCCAGGTGGTAGGCAATGGATTGGATGTTCAGTTGCCTGTGTGTTTTCATAAAAGGGGAAGGGGATCATCTATTATTCTTTCTTTATGAATGCTAGGTATAAATTAACCCCTGCAGAAGTTATCATTGCCTAATGCACTTGTTCTGCAGCCCCCTTGAGACTCTCTTAACTTCAGTGCCATGTCATATTGGTTATTATTAGGTAGTTTCCTTGCTTTCTCTCTATGCTTGTCAGTGTTAGGTTTAAGGAAAATACTGCAGATGCCTAAGTCAGAAGTCAGCAGGTATTGGTGGGGATCACAACACTGATAATAGATGAGTAATACAAAACTTCACAACTAAATGGTTTTTTTAATAAAAAGGCTGAAATCTTGTGAAATTTCAGTATTTTCACATGAAATTCTCCCAACATTTGGGTAATATAACAAATACCTTGTGAGTTTACAGCAATCTGGCCATACATTTAATATATTCAATACTGAATGAAATTACAGTGTTTATATTATGGTGCCCGTGCCACAATCTGATGGTACCTGCAGCCTGCAAAAATTGTTAATCCCCTGCTTAAAGCTGTCTCTTCTTCAAATGTTTAATTTTCCTGTTCACCCAGGAGACCAAAGTGAAAATATCAGCAGCTCAATTTCAAGTGCTCAGTTGAAAAAAGGTTAAGACCACAATTTTGATGGGAAATACATTTTATTAAATACAGAGTTATCCCATAGTCATTTCCATACACACACTTTACAAAAATGCAACTTAGACTAAGTTTAAAATGACTTCCCAATAGTAAAAAAAAAAAATCCAAATTAATGTTAAATATTAAGACAAAAGTTATCTCAACCTGCATGCTTAGCAACTTCCATTTCATGCCAAAGAAGTAATAGTGGTAGATTAGTTTTCTTGGGCTCAAGAACAGATGAAGAAGGGAAATATGCTGGAGATGCAGAGATTTAGGGATAAAGGGACTTAGGCAACTTAGAAAAGGTCATGAAGGATAAAGATATTTCAGTGACACTGAAGACCAGAATAGTAAAGCATTGGTCTTTCAAGTAGCAATGTGTGGCTGTGAGAGGTAGACACTAAGAGGGAGGACAAATGTCTCCAGATGTAGTTGGCGATAGGTTTGCTAAGAGGAGCATGTACTGCAAGAAAGATCATGCAATCAGTCCTGGCCCAAATAAAGGCTGATAACTCCTGAGGTCAGCAAGCAGAATACCGCATATTAAGTGGATGGTGATCTAGAACAGCGATTCTCAAACATTTTGGTCTCAGGACCCCTTTACGTTCTTAAAAATGATTGAGGACCCCAAAGAGCATTGGTTTATGTGGATTATATCTATCAATATTTACTGTATTCAGTAGGATGCCCACAAGAGAGTACACGATCGCCTTCTTTGCTCAGGACTACATAAACAATCGGTATAAATGTTTGTACAGTACACATAAAGCGCTCTATTTAAAGAGAAACAGCTGCCTGCAGGTAGGCAGCGGGGGAAAGAAGAGGCGGGCTGATGCTCCCAAAGACTACACCGTACAATGTTTGTTCCAGTGTCTCTCTCCAATGCTGGGCGAATAGGGAGGGAAAAAAGAACGGCCGCAGCGACATCCTGACAAGGACATTTGCAGCTTCTCTCTGCTGATGCTCTCCAGATGTGTTAAATTTCAACTCTCGCAGCTCCCAGCTATTGCTGAAATCCGGCGCATTTGAAGAGCACCGAGGAGACCGGAGGAGAAAAAAACAGGCAAGGGCTTTTGAGCGCAAGACTAAAGAAACTGCTCTTCCAACCGCCTCTTGGCCACGCCCCTGACTTCAAGTCACGAGGCCTAACGTTCAAATTTCTTTCACGTCACTCTCGGGCCCCGCCCCGCCCATGTGGATCCAAGCGCCGATGCCGCCCTGCTTTCCACAAACCCGGAGTTCGTACGGCGCAGAGTCGGCTGCGTCATCGCGCATGCCTTCTGAGGCGGAGCGGCTTCGGTGACCTTGGGCCTGGAGGAAGTGGTTATTGGGTCGGAAGTGGAAAGAAAAACACCACCGCAAAACGCGGAGGACGCAGTGGGGAAGGCAGCGAGGAGGCGAGCGTCGATCAGGAGGAGAAACCGCTTGAGCGAAAGGCAGGTTGAACTCATCCTTGATCATCATGCCGAGGGGGAGCCGAAGCCGAACGTCTCGGATGGCGCCGCCCGCCAGGTAAGAGGAGCATTCAGCCAGAGAGGCCAAATCCGGGCTGCAAAATCCGGACATCACTAGAGAAAGTGGTGGATCTTAAACAGGCCTGGGGAGGGGGCAGATTCCTTATGGGAGTGCACTGAAAGGCGGTTGAGGGCAGCGGGGGGGGGTGCAGGCTCTCTTTCGCCTTACCCCAGCTGAGAGGCCACGTGACCCCGAGCGGCGGCCCGTCAGGTAGAGAAGGTTAGGCCGTTCGGAGGGCGAGGCCTCGGAGAAGTGGGAGGAGTATCCTTGGGCTAGAGAGGCAGGGGAAGAACATGGCGGGCAGAATTAAAAGAGGAAAGAATGCCGATTGTAGGAGGGAGTTTTGTCGGCTTTATATTATTGTTGTTATTATTACTACTACTACTACTACTACTACTACTGTTAGATTTTTATCCCGCTTTTTTATATATAATTCAAAGCGGCAAACCATAACCACCACCCTGTGAGGTGGGTTGGGCTGTGAGAGGCACTGGCCCAAAGTCACCCAGTGGTTTTCATGCCTAAGGGAGGCCTAGAACTCAGTCTCCTGGTGTCTAGTCCAGCGCCTTCACCACTACACCAAACTGGCTCTTCTTCATGTAGGAATTCAAAGCAGCAATATAGCTCTCTTTCCTTCAGTGCTGCCACACAACAAACCTGTGAGGTAAGTTGGGCTGTGAGAGAGTGATTGACCCACAGTTACCAAACTAAGGTTCAAGGACTGAGAGTGGACTTGAATCTGGTCCACTGGTCCTCCTAGCTCCTGTTCAGTGCATGATGGAGGGAGGGGAACATAATGTTTCCTAAATGTCCTATATGTGGCAGTGAAAAAATTGGCACAATTTTTTTTTACAAATCTCTGATTTATTTGGGTAATAATTCCTATTATCCAATAGGGATAGTGGGCCAAGGGGGAGAAAGGAGTGAAAGGAACAAAAAACAAAACCTCAAGCACAGTCAAAAGGAAGTGATGGGCTGCAAGATAGAAAAGTTCCATGGCCATGTATAGAAGTATTGAATTATGGAATGAGAAGATACCACAAAGATAATCTAGTCCAACCTGCTGCAGTGTGCAGAAAAACCAATTAAACTATCCTTGAGTGGTGGCTATCCAGTCTGTTTTTAAAAGCTCTAGATGGACATCCCACAAACTCCATGAGTAGACTGTTCCAGTATTGTCTTACCATCAGGAAGTTTTTCCTTATGTTTAAACAGAATCTAGATAGTCACAACTTAAATCCAGTATTTTTAGTCCTAGTTTTTGTGACAATAGAAAAGAGTTTCTGACTGTCTTCTCTATAGCACCCTTTTATGTAACTGAGCATTGATATATGTCTCCCGTCAGTTGTCTTTTCTCCAGACTGAGAATCCCACGTTCCTTCTGCCTGACCTTACAGAACATGCCTTCAAGTCTCTGTATAATTTTTGTCACCCTCCTCTGAACCTCTTCTAATCTGTCAGTATCCTTTTGGAAACAGCCCAAAATTGTACACATATTTCGGGTGATTTGGAGGCTTAAGGATTTATGTTTAAACATTCTGGTCAAGTCTAAAATCTTAGTAGCTATAGGCTTATCTTGGGGAAGCATGGTCTGCTCTGCACTGATTAGATGTGTCAAATCCCATAATTTAGTTAGATCTTCAAAACCAGCAGTTGCTGGCTTCCATATGGTGTAAAAGTCACAATTGTAAATGCAGATTATAAAAATAGAGTTATAAATTATAAATACACATTGGGCTTTAAATTGCATCTTCCTACTTTTTGTACATGATTCAGAATGGCTTGTGTGTGGACAATCAAAACCTGTTTAATTGTAGGTTTCATTTTCTAACATGTATTTTCATTTAACAAGCTTTAAAAGACTGACAAAATGTCAACTAGTTTTGATCTAAGATCAGCCATAGTGTGTTTTTCTGTCTTTTTGGAAAAGCAGTGCAGATTAGATAACAAACTCTGTGTGAATATTTAACCTGTCTAACAGAGTCACAGCTTTGTAATGTGGTATGTTGACAGTTCAGTTAAAATTTACAGTAGGCAAGATCAATGTTTGTCTTTAAGAAAAAATTCAGATTCTTCCAAGGAGTCAACCCTTACCCTATTCTGTGTACAGAGGCCTTCACCTTGCCTATGAAAAATTTGTCTCCTTTAGTATATCAGTGTACCATCAGATGGTTCTGACAGCATGTCTGAAAGGGATTATGTGCTCCAGGTGACAGGCACATTATATGACTGATACAAACTGGGTTCATCTGAATGTAAGGGGAATGGTGAGAGGAGTTGTGTTGAAGCCTAAATATTTTCTTCTGCTCAAGCATCTTGAAAGGAGGAGAAGCCAAAGTATTGGCATGAGCATAAATATTGCAATTGAGAAAGGAATTAGAGTTCTTGAGCTCCTCTTATATGTTGTAATGAAGCAAGACGCTAAGAAGAAACAGTTGGTGTTGTCTGCCTCCTCAATTATTTACTTATCTGTTGAGAAAGTATGTGAGAATATGGCTGACACTCAAAAAATAATTCCCAATCTCAACTGGAACTTCACTGCACCATTCCTGAATTTACTATACTGGCTTTGTGCATGGTGTTCTCAGGAAGTCTCATGTCCAAGCACTGACAAACCGCTGGTGTGCTTCATCTTGTCCCTTCAGACTGTGCTCTGGATTATGACTTCTCTCGGCCCAATTTACCTTATAGGGTTGTTGCTATGGGAAAAAATAGCAGAGTGGTAATTATGCCTCTTGAGCTCCTGAATGAAAAGTGAGATATAAGTATAACAAACAATAAATCGGTTGAAATGTGGCAGCAATTCATGAAAACATATCTGTACAGTAATTTTCAAATGTGGGAGAAGTTGGCATTCAGAATTATATCTGAATTTAAGTTATTTCCTTTTCCCCCCTTTCTTTTGATAGCCGTGCTCCACCAATGCGATCAGCTCCAACCACAGCTGCACGTGCTCCTGTCCCAGCTCCAGCCCCTGCTTCAGCAGTAGCTTCTCCTGCCCCAAGGCAGCCTGGCCTGATGGCCCAGATGGCCACCACAGCTGCAGGCGTCGCTGTAGGTTCTGCTGTGGGGCATACTCTAGGACATGCCATGACTGGGGGGTTTGGAGGTGGAAACTCCGAAGCTGCAAGACCTGACATCACTTACCAGGTAAAAGAGATTATTCCATTTCTGAAATGTATACATGCCAAGTAAGATCATGAATTGTAGAGACCCTTCTGGCCAGTAAATAAGGAGAACAAAAAAGGGAGGAAATGTGGTGCTCTATAAAAGTGATATTTTAACATAAACCCCACTTCTTTAGGAGCTCATTTCTTCATAGTGTTCCACAAGAGAAATCATCTATTATCTTTTTTAGTCTGCTGCTGTTATTATTAGCATCATAGTATTAGATATCTTGGAATGCTTGAGGTGTTTAGTTGAAGAAGTTGGAGGATGACGCCTGCTGATTAAAAAAGGACTAATATAAAATTGTCAGCAGGCCTAAGAATTTTCCTCATTTTGTAGTTTGTAATAAGATGATGTGCCAGTTGGGCTTCCTCATAAGCAGCTGTCGTTCTCGCCCTTCCCCACTTCCAATTCCCTGAATCATTGCTTGCATTTCCTCTTTAGGAGCCTCAGGCAGCCCAGCCAGCTATGCAGCAGTCCCAGTACACGCCTTGCCAGTATGAGATGAAGCAGTTCCTGGAGTGTGCTCAGAACCAGACTGATTTGAAGCTGTGTGAAGGGTTCAGCGAGGTGCTGAAGCAATGCCGATTTGCAAACGGTATGTAACTTCTGTGGCTTCCTCTGGAAATTGGAAATAGGCTTGTTTTCAGAGCTTGAGAAGGAGGACAACTCCTATAGGCACTGCTGTGGATCATTGCTGGAGGCTTTTGAGGGTGATTGTTACAATGTTAGGAAAGAGTTTGAATGTTTTAACTTCATACAGCACATTAAATATTGCTTACCTACAGTGATAAGTGAATTCAATTATTCCATATAGAATGACAATTTAAAACTGATTTCTACAATTGCATGCCAGCTTATCTTGAAAATTTAAGATCTTCATTGTTTGTGTACATTCTGGTAAGCTGTTAATTCAGAGTTTGTGATGCATTCCTGACATAGGGCATAATCTAAACATTTATGAGGAGAAGAGGCATTTTGAAAGTACTCGGTTAGTCCCAGAGGTCCAGTATTGGCTATCTGTTGATCTCATTGTATCCTGATGAAATGCAAGTATGCACTAAAGTAAGGTCATATCTGTGTTTGATCAAGATTGTGTGTCACATGGATGTGCAACTTGGGACAGTCTGTACTAAAAATCTTCCAGTAGAATTTAGTATCCAGCAGCCCACTTCTCCTAGCTCATTCTTAGAGTTCTGATGGAAGAATTAAAAATAATGTTGGCTTGGTGTAAAAAGTGGAGAAAAAATGAGGAGTGGCTGTGACAGTACTTAAATGTGATAATGAAAGGTCAGAGAACCTAAAGTTTGTTTTCTGGATCCTGCAATCCTTTTTGTGCATTGATACTTATATGTGTGTTTTACTTTTTCCTTCAAATCCACAGGCTTATCTTAATTAAACTTGATTAAACTCTGAAGGATCAAATCTGGCTCCATCACCAAGAGATGCATCGCTAGTGAACTTTTCTTTAATGTGTAAATGCTATCTGGCTTGTCTTTGTGATCAGTTGTCCATCCATGAAGTTTCCAGCAAGAAGAATTGTGGCAATGAAAACTATTGCTTGTGGTTGGGAAAGTAGAATGATCATCCAATTTTAGGATTATATCACCTGCGTTATTCCTAATTGTGATTGTGTATGATCCTCAATAAAAAATGAGGTTTTGGATTGCCTCACAGTCTTTGATAAATAATGACTGGGAACAGAGGAGAGATGGGATGGGTTACTTTATGTGTAACTGTTAAGAATTTGTCATCTTAATTGTGTTACTGCTAAAAGCGCAAAATAGAATAAAATGCAGCATTACTTTTTCCTGGGCAGTTGGGACGAATTCACATTTTGCAACTTGGGGAGGGAGGATAATTTATTTAGTCCATATCTCAGGCTGCCTGTTCACCAATACTGTGGGCAGCTTACAAGGGTTAAAACAGCTTAAGAAAATAAAAGAAGAAACAACTTTAAAATAAAACTCTCCTTAGGAGGAAAATCAAAATCAAATCTGCTATACTTACCTGGTGATTAGCAGGGCCGCATGCTGACACAGCCCCCAGTGTGCAGGGAGAGCCAGTTCTAAAAGCCTTGGATATGGGTTGGGGGCGGTCTCCTGGATTCCATAGGATGGTCTTGTTTAATGCAGGGTTCCTCAACCTCAACA